TTAAAAAAAAAAAAAAAAAAAAAAAAAAAAAAAGCAAAGTGTATTATGTCCTACAAAATAACCACAGATCGGGCCGGCCTGGTGGTGCACTGGAGAGTGTGCCACTTGGGAGCGCGGAGGCACTCCCGCCAAGGGTTCGGATCCCATGTGGAGACCGGTTCCAGCTCACTGGCTGAGCGCGGTGCGGGTGCAACACCGAGGGTTGCGATCCCGTTGCCGGTCAGTAAAAAAGACAAAAAGGAAAAAAAATTTTTTTAAAAATAAAATAAAATAACCACAGATCAAACGCTAGGAGACAAAAGGGCAAGGGAGAAAGGGAAAAATCAGGAAGTTTTTTGTATTGTTTTGTTTTTAACAAAACAGAAATGAAATTGTCCTTCTAAAGATGAGCAGGATTTTGACCCAAGAATTGTCAACAGAGTGACTACCACATGAACACACAGAAAACAAAGGGCACGTTTTTGGTTTAGTAGACTCCACATAATGGAAGAAACTTAGGATGCATTCACTACTTTTTTACACAAGAAATATTTATTGAGCTCCTGCTACACATGAGGCACACCTCAGGTATCAGGCATAGAGCAGTGAAGAAAAGAGAGCAATATCCCTGCACATACAGCGTTTCCATTCTAATGGCACATAACAGGAGATAAGGCTGGCTGGGAAAAAACCAGTCCAGTGCAACAGTTCAAATATGATTTGCAAAAGTCTAAGTTAGGGATGACTACATGAATGAGAGGGAGGGCTGGGTATCGGAATCAATCTACAGTAGACCAATTTATGTAGTCGTTTATAATGAAATTATACCAATGACTTATGCGCTTATTCAATAAAGAAAGAGTAAACAAAGCTATTAACTTCTTTGAGTCTTTATAATATACAAACTACAAACTCACCTTCTTATTAAATGTGACAGGCAAATTCCCAACAAACACAGTTCTCTCATTCTTTAATCTCTCTTCTTCTTGGTTAACTTGAGTTTTCTTTCTTTGACCTACAATTGTGTCATCTGCATCATCAAATACTTTTCTGTCTGCTACTTGAACACCAGACTGAGAATTTTTCCGTTTCTGCCCTTGTTTCTGGTGAATTTCTTCTTCTAAATCAGCACTTGCTAGAGCACTTTCCCTTTTTAAGGCAAAAACAAAAGAATATACGAAATTAGAATAATGGAAGTCAGGTCTAGTACTTGGCAAAGCAGTTCTATTCCTCCTGATTAGAATACTTCCCAATGGCTTCTGGCTTTCCTAAACATAAACTTACCACTCACAAATATATAAACATTTTTAAAGTAATATTATCGAAAATGACTAGTATCTTTACAAGACACATTCTATAACTCAAGAGTGAACAAGTTAAGCTCTGTTTTTGACAACATGCTAAAGCCACCAGGTAACAGCAGCAGCAACAACATCTAAACAAAAGCTGGTTCATTTAAAGCCCCTGGAGATTTAGTTTATGCTCTCTCAATGCCTAATTTCACTCTGCTCTACAACTTCAGAGGCACTGCAGCACTCCCCAGGAGTCTAATAAGGTTAATATGCCTGCAGAATACTCACTTTAAAAAAGCAATCTGGCCAGTAGGAAAAACCAGATTCCCTACTTATAACAGTTCTATATTTAAAGGACTGCTTAGCAAAATTGAATTCCGAAATGGCAAATACAATGTAAAGTATTGGTGCACAGGGATAAGTAAGGTCTGAGCATCAATCCAAAAAGAGAACCGAACGGGGAACTTTAGGAGTGAGGGAGACAATAGGTAAGAGTCACAGAAATGATTCACTCAATCCAATGAGTGAATTTGTGGCTTCCTACTCAGTTCTAGGCTCAGTTCTAGGCTCTGGGATACAAAGATAAAGAGACTATTAGAGGCCTTTCTATAGTCTAGTGAAGAGAAAGTGAAGTTCACAGTAAAATGGGTAAGTTATACTACACAGTACGTGAACATAAAAGAAACAAGAGAAACAAGAAAGGCTTCTCAGAGAAGGAAATCGGTGTTTGGCACATAGTCAGCCCTCAGTAAATGTTGGCTATTATTACTCCTCCACTAGACCATAACCTCCACTAAGGAGGGGGCCCACATCTAGTGTTTTTCAATGCAGCATATAACGTCCCTAGCAGGAGTGAAAGGAAATGAGACAATATGGTGAGCTGCGAACCAGGTCAAGAAGGACCTTCTGTGTTATGCAAAAGTGCTTAGATTTTATTTATTATTATTTTTTTTAAATTCCTATAAAGATGACCAGTAAGGGGATCTTAACCCTTGACTTGGTGTTGTCAGCACCACGCTCTCCCAAGTGAGCCACAGGCCGGCCCCTTATTTTTTTGTTTTTAAAGATGAGAATTTGAGCGTGTTTATATGGTGAAAAGATCAAAGATATAGAAAAGAGGTGAACATGTATGGATCTGACAGCAACATCCCTAAGGAGGAGGAACAGGGTGTTCGCTATGGCAGCACATACACTAAAATTGGAGGCAGAAAAACAGATATGTGCTGTACACAGCAAAGGTGGTTGAGTTAATCTTGAACAAGAAGGAAGACACTTCTTTGCAAGAAAGGGAACAAATTAATGCTGTGTATAGACGCATTAAGTAGGAAGGCAAAAAATAGAAATAGTTCACAACTGTTAGCAATTGATAGCTCTTCGAATAGGTAAACGGTCTTCTGAGAGAGGAGAGAGAGAAGGGAAATGAAAACAAGGGGCTTGAAGACAGTGGCAAAGAAGAGAGGAATGAGAAAAGTTAACTGGATCCCGATTCAAATACACTGAAAAAAAAATTAAGTTAATGGGGAAAATTTGGTCTCTGAATAAGTCTCAGAAAACCAAACTCATCTTTTATATATATGCTGAAATATTTGTAGATGAAACGTAAGTCTCATATGAGGAGGATAAAGATTAAGGAAGGCTGAGCAAGTATTACTAAATTGTTAAAGTGGGTACATGGAGTTCCTTACCCTTTTCAACTTTTGCATATGTATGAGGTTTTTCCATAATACATTTTTTTGAAAGAAACAATTAGAAATACGAAATGAGAAAAAAAGCAAGGACGAATACTGAGGGCATAGGAATATTAATTTCTTTACCATCAACCAAGAGACTTCTTACCAACCTGTTGGCCAACTTTTTATCTGAATTAGAGCGTTTCTTCTTCACTTCCACTTTTTTTGCAGGGTCTCGCAAAAGTGGTCTCTGAATCTGGGTTGTACGTTCTTCCTCCTCATCCCGTTTCCTCTTCTGCGTGGTTTCCTTTCAAAGGTTTGAAGTTATGTTTGACACGTCATCCTTTTTAATTCGGACCCTAGGCAATAATTGAGGGGTCTTTCTAAATTAGCATCTCTTGTCTCACTGGTCTATGCAGTGCCTTGAGGTCACTTCGGTTTATTAGTCACGGGCTGGCCGGTTACCCGGCTGCTAAGAGAGCGGCGTGGTTACACCAAGGTCGAGGGTTCGGGTCCCCGCACCGGCCCGCCGCGCCCCATCAGGTCACTAAGACAGAAGGCAGGCCGCTCGTCCTGCAGCTGCTCCGCCGGGCCGTTCGCAACAGAGCCCAGGGACTCACCTTGGGCACAGGCACGTACACGGGTCGAACCTGAGGCTGCGGAGAGCCGAAGAGGGCCGCCAGCCGGCTCGTCCCCCCTCCGCCGCGGGACAGGCTGCCGGCCACCTGTCCCACCAGGTAGTCTCCGCTCCGGTTCCCGCCGACGCCGTGGCCGGGGCTCTCCCTGGAAACGGACGCCAAAGACTCAGCCGCGCCACGCCCGAGCGAGCGAACTCACGACATCCCTGCCCAGCTGCTGCTGCCCGCGCCACGCGCCACTCACCCCGGCTCGGCGCTTCTCTTCTTCGTCAGCTTGGTCTTCCCTTCCAAGGCCATTGTCAACCCACGGCCTCCGAGACAGCAGCGGCGCGTCCGCCGCACTTCCGGGTCCCGGCTACTCCCGCCCCGGGCCCCGCCCCTTCCGCTCTCGGAGGGCGCGCCGTCACACGGGGCGGGGCCGAGCGCGGACGCAGGTGGCGTCGGGGGTGGGGCCGGGGGCGGGACTTCCGAGAGCAGCTGAGTCCGGAAGTTCGCTTAAGAACCCGCCGGGCTGGGAAACTCCCCAGTGACCAAGGATTGATTGACAATCAGCCCAGCGGCGTGAAGGGCGCCCGGGAATTCTTGGGACGCTTCTCGCAACTTTCCAGAAGCTTAGCATTATTTCAAAATAAAATTAAAAATAGTTGGAGACCATAGCTGCAACCGATCACATCAACATACCATTCGAAGGTTGGAATGCTGCCCTGGTCCTGTACCAGGAAAAGCAGGGCTGCCCTCCAAACTCTCGCAGCTGCTTTCCCAGCCTGCCTTCCCAGACCGCCTCCCTCCCGGCCCTTCCACTCTACTTGCTTTCTTTCACCGCCTCCCTCGTTATTCAGCCCCGATTGCCTGCCTCTTTCCCCTTCTGCAAAATTGCACCATCTGTTAAGGCCGAGCTCTTATGCTATCTCGCTTATGAAAATTTCTCTACTGTTTACAACAGGGATATCATCTTTTTCCAAGCCCCATCGTGCTTACTATAATCATTTTTTGCATTAGTTTTATTTACGGTCTTTAGACGTAGAGGCATGAGGGTTAAGGATATATATGTCATTCATCCTGTATACTGTATCCCTATCCGATGTACCTGGTGAATATCCGTTACATTGACTTTTAGGTAATAAGTGATTACTAGATAAATCATTAAATTCAGTAGTTTGGGTTGTAAAATAGGATTTGACTTTGAATCTTTTGGGAACAATCTTGCTTTTTGAAAGCCGCTTAACACAAATTCATTGGGAATATGTGACCTTTTATTGACGTCAGCAAGTTTATTTAAAAAAAAAAAAAAAAAAAACAACATTCAACTGTTTGACTTTTTTTTTTAAGATGACCGGTGAGGGGATCTTCACCCGTGGCCTTGGTGTTATCAGCACCGCACTCTCCCGAGTGAGCCACGGGCCGGCCCTGACTCTGCTTTTGATTACTGAGCCCCCTTGCTTTGGTTTACCACAATCTCGATCTTCGGATATTTCACAAAGATGAGAAAAATCCATCTATGCATGCATGAGATGCAACTGGAAGTATGTCTTAACACAGTCCAGTGAAGAAATTCTATTCATTTTTTCTCAGAATGTCTCCCAATCCCATTTTTTCTCCACTCTCTAACATTATTCCAAGAATCATCTCCTATCTGTAACCCCATTCTATCTGCCTTCCAGCCTCTTCCCCTCCACTCTAGCCTATAATCCCATTTCCAGGCGAATCTCCCTCATATGCTGATTTAAGGTTTGCATCTCCTTCATGTCAACATCAGTCATCGCAACTCCTGTAGGCTCCTGCACTGCCTCCTTTACACTCTTATGCTCTTGTCCTCCCTGACCCTATAACTCAGCACTTAGTTTTACTGTCTTATATTGCTTCCACAGCTAAACCATGAAACTGTTCCTCTGAAATATTACAGCTCTTACATGCATAACCTCTCATATGATGTTAGCCCCAAATCCCTACAGAGCAGGTTTAAGTTAGGAGAAAAAAGGTGGGAAAATGGACTGAAAGAATGAAACATAGCACATATTTCCAGAGGAAAATGATAACGGTGAAAGAGGCTGTGGTTGGAGATAGTTTTAAAAATATCCTCACTGCATTCAGTACTTTGAACCATTTAGTGATCCCTAGCCCCTTTGAGGGTTTCTTAAAATATAAGGGCTCTTTTCATAGAAAACTACAGATGAAAACAATTTTATAGAAAACATAAGGAGTTCAATGGATTCTGCTCCCCCCCCCTTCCCAAATCTCCCCAGGTTAAGAAAATTAACAAGACCACACCCTAAGTTTATTTCAGTAGGAAAAAAAGAACACTGTAAAAAACATATCATATATTGTAAACTTTAAAAAATGCAGTTTAGGTGGTCAGGTGTATGTAGACTTAGGGCAAATTCTAGTAAGAATAATGAAATTCTCAAACACTCTGGAGAAGCTGGGAAGGGCAAGAAGGCAGGCAGGAGGACAGAGGGGCCCAAGGTAATAAAATCTCCGCTCACAACAAAATTTGTCATCATGCCCACTAGAGCACTGTTTCTGTAACACACCCAATAGGTAATACTAAGGTGTTCCTTGAAAAACAAGGTTTCGTGATCAGATGATTGAAACAGTCGGGTGAAGGAAGTTACTTAGCCAGGTGTCTCTTCACAGGCCTTCTGAAAGTTTTTAATATGCTAATACCGTGAAATCTTCAAGATGGGAATGTGGTGTATATAGCATTTCCAAGGACTGGTATTCAAGCAACTCATTTTGGGAAGCACTGTTCTATAAAGGTAAAAACGCATCCCTTAAAAATTAAATTGTGTGAAAATAAAGGGCCATCCCAAAAGTGCTTTAAAACTATGTACACTTCAGCTTTTTAGGCCTTAAAAAAGCTTATTTTCTTTTCATATTAAGAAAAGGAAAGTCCACTAAATGGGGCCAAAAAACTAGATTACTGATTTTTAAAGGTTTGAGGTATAGCAGTTTTCAGTACAGATGCATATTAAAATCACTGCAGATCTTTAAAAAAAAAAAGGTCAACATCCAGGTACCACCCCAGACCAATTAAATACAAGTCTTTGAGGGTGGGGTTTGAGTGCTATTTTAACAATGCCCAGGTGATTCCAACGTGCAGTGGAGCAGAGTGCACTGAAGTATTCCTCCCACAAAAGTCCAATTAAATTAAAAGAAAAAAAAAAAAAGCTGGTGATAATGGCTTCAAGTGTTAAAGGAAAAAACAACTTTTTAACATTGCTTGAATTTCTTCTTTGGAAAAACCTCCCAGTCAAATGAAAAATATTTACATTCGAACTCAAGCAAAATAGTGTATGCAAAGTTGTAAGAATGCCTAATAAATCCCTTATCTGGTTACCAGACTTTTAATTTTTATAGGTAGCATACTCTCTTTTTCGTATGTCAATTAACACCTTGTGATTTGTGATAACACATGCTGGATATATATGTTCCAGTCAGTTGTCACATACAGAAATAAACTAAAATTACTTAATCTTTTAGAAACAAAATCAAGGATTCACAAACTATGGCATTTTATTTCAGAGCCTTTGCTTACATTTGTACAATATATTACATAATTCTTCATTGTTTGCAGATCCTAATATATACTTTATAGCTTTTATTCTATAAGCTTTTTCTTCAACATTTTGCTGTCAACAAATCTTTACAGTCCTGTACAAATTTGAATAACTTGAAACCATTTTCAACAAAATTAGTTACTGTAAGCACACACAAGACTGAAAATGCTTTTCTTAGAAAAGTTGAATGTAAAGGATTCTGACACGTTAGCATCTACAACAAAATGCTTCGAAATTCTCACGTCGTATTGCCAGAAAAAAATAAAACATGCCAGCCCCATCCAAAAAAAGTACACAGAACTACAATTAAAACAGTAAAACAGTCTGTACAGTAAAGTACTGTGTATTAACAGTGCCAGGTATTAAATAGCTTGAATGAACACATCCACAATATACAAATGTCTTACAAAGGTGAAGAATTAAATACAAGTGCCAAACAGAACAGAGATTGAAATCACACAACATAAAGTCAATACAAGTGAAAATAATTTTGCGTTCATTTTGGATTTTATACAAGGCATTATATTTTATAAGCCTACCACCCGAATTAGCTATTTATACTTAAAATAACAACCATCCTTTTGGGACAGATCATATCAACAACCTTGAACCATACTAATAGTTACTTGTTCCTGAAGTCCTTTTGTTGTAGCTCATAATAAAATAAGCAATACAAATGAATTATCTGTATTTAAGGGGGAAAAAAACATTTACAAGAAAACACAAAAATATAACTGTTATAATTCATTATGAATAAATATACACTTTGAACTGGCTAAGTACAATCTTTATACATTGTTTAAGATTTAATACAGTTTATTAGCCATTTTCTTTTTTCACACAATGTATTATATCAAAATTAAAAAAAAATACTGATTTATAGAAAAATGGCAAAGTACAGTAGTTCCATTCCAATTTGAAGGGGCATGAAAAGCCACTGCAAGACCTTTTAGCCTAATTCAAACCTGTAAACATGTTCAGTCTTTTTTAAAGAGAATTTTTAATATTTGGTTACCAGGATGGATGTCTAATATCCTGTTAACTGCAGGTTTTGAATTTATTTCATGTGCTTGACTTATACAATTAAAGCCACCCTAAGGTGACTTGCTTTAAAAAACAATTAGCTTGTACAAATGAAAATAGGTTCATATTTTTTCATAAATAAATGGAAAAATATCAAATGTTCCAGCTTTAACAAAATACAAGGGAATACATATACAGTGAGTTATCTTAACATGTCCTGGCCCACCCCATCACTACACTTGCTGTGTTGTCTCTACAGGCAGTGAAAAGCCTCCATTTGCCACAGTGGAAGGCCTTTAAGTTACCGGACACACAATTCCCAGACAAGTTGGAAACAATTATTGCTTGAGGAAAAGCAGTTCATTGTACTTTTTCTTCATAAAAAAGTGCACTTAAGTGCCAAGTCAGCTTGTCAAGAAACAATTTTTAAATATAAAATAGTGCTTGTCTGATATTTTTTTTGTGCCACTGTGCAGTATAAAAAAAGACGTGGCCCTCAACAGCCATTAAGTGCAAAGTGCTTTAGCAAGTCCTGCTGTCACCTGCACTCAACTGACATTCCATTTTGTGATGCACTGGACATTGACGGTTCGGCTAAAGTTAACATAACAGCAGCTGTTATGGAACTGGATGAAGGTGAAGAAGAGGATGAGGAGGTAGCAGCACCTGAGGAAAAGGGAGACCAAACCAAGAACTTCATAAAAAGTCTGTCTAACAATAGAAAGAAAACAGTAGTCCTCCGA